TTAAAATATTTATAAATATTTAAATATTTAAAGTGTGACAGATGTTCAGTATGGTACCTGGAAACCTGCAAACTGGCTTGAGCCTAAAATCTACAAAACAGAGGCTTCGCATTTAGATTTCACCTGGGCTCAGGATGCTGTTCCGCTAATGCTAGCCGTTGCAATTTAGCTCCATGGAGACCAAAACCAAGTGCAACGTCCCTCCTGAGTGTTAACGTTGCACATGATAGTGCATTAGGCAGAGGCACCGTCAGCTGTCTCTACAAGAAACCAGAGGCCTGGGGATGATGGCAGTCCTCGCTCTGAATCCTCTGGAGGGGGATCTGCAGGTTCAGAGCAGCAAGAGACGCAATGAATGAACAAGAAGTGAAGGGCATGACCTCACTCTTTTATTTTAGATTTGGAGTCTGTAGCTCTGTTCCCCAATCTGAGCCACCTGGTGGTCTGTTGCCTACATAAAAAGATACTTTCTAAGGGGCCATTCACACAGAACGCATTTTTGTGTTTTAAAATGTAAAACACAGGGCAGTGGGAAAAAAGACACAAAGTCTAGACAAACTTTTTTGAACTTCTTTGCCACATTTAAAAACGTCCGTCTGGCACATTTACATTGAAATACAATGGAAAAATAGTGCAGTGGAAAGCAAAAACACACACGGAATGCTTTTTTTTTTGCACCAAAAAATGCAAGACATGAGGCAGTGGAATGAAAAAAAAAAATGCAAGGCCTAAAAAATGTTTTTTTAAAGTTGAATTTTAGTTAACTCTTAGAGGCACCGTCAGCTGTCTCTACAAGAAACCAGAGGCCTGGGGATGATGGCAGTCCTCGCTCTGAATCCTCTGGAGGGGGATCTGCAGGTTCAGAGCAGCAAGAGACGCAATGAATGAACAAGAAGTGAAGGGCATGACCTCACTCTTTTATTTTAGATTTGGAGTCTGTAGCTCTGTTCCCCAATCTGAGCCACCTGGTGGTCTGTTGCCTACATAAAAAGATAATTTCTAAGGGGCCATTCACACAGAACGCATTTTTGTGTTTTAAAATGTAAAACACAGGGCAGTGGGAAAAAAGACACAAAGTCTAGACAAACTTTTTTGAACTTCTTCGCCACATTCATAAACGTCCGTCTGGCACATTTACATTGAAATACAATGGAAAAATAGTGCAGTGGAAAGCAAAAACACACACGGAATGCTTTTTTTTTTGCACCAAAAAATGCAAGACATGAGGCAGTGGAATGAAAAAAAAAAATGCAAGGCCTAAAAAATGTTTTTTTAAAGTTGAATTTTAGTTAACTCTTAACTAAGCACTGTGTTTTTAGACTGCCATGGCATATGCGAGATGATGCAAAGGACGCGAACACAACGATCAAAAACATTTGTCTAACGCGTGTTTATGCAGAAAAACAATGGAAAAGTAATGGAATGCAAAAAAATGCAAGAAGCATGGCTGTGGAATAAGACTAGTTTTAAATTGAGCGGCACATTTTTATGATGCATAAGACTCTGCAAAAAATGAGAGACGCGATCTGTCTAGTACACATGAATGGCCCCTACATGTTTTTGCATTTAAAAAGCATGAGACACATGGCAGTGGGGTATATAGACACGTTTTTTAAAAGTTGCACTTCTTTTAACTTGAGCACCACATTTTTAGTACACCGTGTCATGCAACACTGCAAATGTAGATTGTATAATGGTCAAAAATGTCTGTCTTGTGCATGTTTACACAGAAATACAATGGAAAAGTAGCACAGTAGAATGCATACAAGCGTTCGTATGGCGTATGGCAGTGAATACATACTGTACACAGTTGAATACATTTTGAAGTAAGAGAAGCGTTCGTGTGGTGTGCGGTTTCATTTCAGTCCAGATGTTTCCTTGAAAGAAAACTGCCTAAGTAGCCAGCAGATACCAAGGCGGTTCACTAAATTTTGGAACAGAGCTATTGTGTGCCTGTATATCTAAATAAAATCGTGGCCTATGATACAAAAACATTTGCCTCAAATTATATAGTTACTGTCAATGCTACATTCAGACATCCGACAAGAGAACACATCCAAGTAGTGAGCGACTCAGAGCGAGTGTGCAAGAGAGCCACAGACTGTGTGTGTGTGTGTGTGTGTTTGTGTGTGCTGTTTGCATGCTGATCATTTCAGAACATGCTGTCCTGGGACATAATTATTCCACACACAGCCATGTCACTCTCACTGAAGGAACACTAATTGGGGGAATCAAAACACACAACAACGTGCACAACTCCCCGTGCTACATAGAGACCTCAGCTGACTGCCATGAGCAATGTCACTGGAACAGCCCAGCAGATGTGCCTTTCAGTGCTCGCTGCTGGTCCCATGGCAGACTGGTTGCAGGTTATGCTCTGTTTGTTGGTTTGTTTTTTGTTTTCATCTATAAAGGTGTTACTGAAAAGAGTTGTGGGGCTGTAGAGGGATACAGTACTGATTTATTTTTATTTTTTTTATAGAAAGCCGGATGGAGTCCACTGCACGTGTGCTAATGATGTTAGCACCAAGGGGAACATCAGGACTGTTTAACATGTTCAGAGAAAGGAGGTGACAATATCTGGCATCCAGTATCAAAGAACAATATCCAATATTCGCATAAAACAATAACCCGTTTAATTCTTTGGTATTGGTATGTGTTTATGTGTTGTGCATTATGTGTGAGAACAGAACTAAGCTCTCTTACATTCTGCTCATGTACTGCAAGGCAGGGTTATTATAGTTAACTAAAAACCATAGAAAACATGTGTGTGTATATATATATATATATATATATATATATATATATATATATATATATATATATAATTTTTTTTCCAGTTGGTTGCCAAAGTAACATTTCCCATTTAGTTTAATTTGATGTACTAAAATAACTAAAAATGAAAAATTAATAAAAATGGTATAGATGTTAAAAAACACAACAAAATGACTAAAACTTTTAAATTAAGATGAAAATGGAAATTACAAAAAATACAAAATATTAAACAACTATAATTAGTATGTCAATTATACTAGAATAACACTGCTGCAAGGTTCAGTACAAGACAGAAGATATTTTGTGTGTGTGCTACATGATTACACCTTTTATTTATTTATTTATTGTATTGTATTGCACCTAAAATTATTCTAGTGCAGGGGTTTTTGAACGTTTTAATGGCATGGACCCCCAAATATGACAATGCCCTTGTAAATACCCCCTCTCTTAAAATATGAAAGCAACTATATATTCAGATTTAAAAACCCATATACAGCAGGAAATACAATGAAATAAAATAATATAAAATAATAAATACAGTTATGAAAAAATGTAATATAGATAAAATATAAAAATACAAAATTAACTAAATTATTGTCTAGAAAATATCGAATCACACACACACACAAATAGTGCAAAAATACAATTAAGATTGAAATATAAATAAATTAAAAAATTAAAAAGGCCATAAATAAAATTAATATTAAATCAAATGTAATATAAATACAAAATTAACTAACTTATTATCTAGAAAATATTGACTTTGTATGAACCTGAGGAGAAACCATTTAAAATCATTTTCATTTCATTAATTTGTATAGCTTTAGTTTTTGTCTTACAGTAATACATACACTTTCCAGAGCAGTTTTACACTTTGACAACCATGAAAGAAAGAAAGAAAATAATACAATAATAAAAAAAACTAACTTTTTGTCTTTTCCACGTACCCCCTAGAATCCCTTTGCACCCCCTTGGGGTCCCTGGACCATAGTTTGAAAACCTGTGGTCTACAAAAATTATTATACAAAATTATTATTATGTATAATTATGACTAAATTCAAATAATTAATTCAGCATAAACTTTTCACTTTTTCATTCAGGAAAAAACACCAAAAATATAGCAGCAGGAAAATGACAACACTGACAGGCTATAATGACAATATGAAGACACACACACAGTTCAAAACACTTCACTTCACGATAGGCCTAGGCCAGGGGTGCCCAAACTCGGTCCTGGAGGGCCGGCGTCCTGCAGAGTTTAGCTCCAACCCTAATCAAACACACCTGAACCAGCTAATCAAGCTCTTACTAGGCATGCTAGAAACTTGAAGGCAGGTGTGTTGAGGTAAGTTGGAGCTAAACTCTCCAGGACCGAGTTTGGGCACCCCTCGCCTAGGCCCTGCAAAAAGGCCTCCAAAACAAAATAGCAACAACAACTACTAGAGAATAATAAAATGTCTGAATATGGTATCTACACTCTCAGAAATGCTGGGTTATTTCAACCCAACTTTGGGTCAAATATGGACTAAACCAACCGTTGGGTTACATTTTTACATTACATTTTTAACCCAAAAGTTGGGTTAGTCCATATTTGACCCAAAGTTGGGTTGAAGCAACCCCGCATTTTTTAGAGTGTAACATTAAGAGATAACTGGGCCGTGCTAACACACCAAACCTTGACCACTTGGTCAACACACAGTCAAGAAACACACAGTGCAGCGGTTGAGCCATTTACTGGGGTTTGTCAATGTGAAGTGTTTCATTTCAGCACAGCTAGTGCCACTAAATGGAATTGGAAAAACAGTGGCGTGAATGATCAAACGCTCCATATGTCCTCCATCTGTCATGAGTCACACAAACAGTCTGTCCCTCAACACTATTAATTCAGCCAAAAGTTGACATATTGGGCCGGTCAAAACAAACAACACAGGGGTCAGAGCAACAGTGTTTACACATTTTGGGGAAATCAACTTACTTATAGTTGACGCTGCATTTTAAGCTGGGCTTGATAAAGTATTTCACCTTTAAATGGAGACAAACATCTTTTTTTTCTGGAGGGAGAACATTTTAAGATACATTTGTGAATGTATAATATACGTTTCCTGTATTGTTATAATTCAACTCACCTGCCATTTTATGGTAAATGTAGGCCGCGGTTCTGTCGCCCTCTACTGGACTAAACGCGCGACTATACGAGCCGTCAACACGCGATATTTAGTCGCAAAAAAGAAAAAAAAAGGAAGTGTCGTGAGGAATCTGCTTAGCGGCAGCTGTACACACATACACGTGTATCCAGAGGTGCTGTGAAGATAAATGTAAGTTACATACTGCAAATATAAATACAGCTTTAACAGCATAAATACTGAAGTCCGTATTGTCAGTAATTACGCCTGTGAGCGGTGTTTGTACGTTATGTCTATTAAAATAGCTATTTTTGCATAACGTTACATGAAATGGCTAACTGGCTAACACACATCTTAGTTTTCAGCTAATTTTTTCTTACACAGATCTCTTGCATCTGGATATATTTAACAGCATGTGGGTGATCGGTTATGTAAGATTATGAATAATCATTGTAATCGGGTCATGTGTAGTCTGTATCAGTGCTTTTAATCATGCTTATGGAGTGACCGACATTTGCACATTTGAGGTGTTTCAATAGATTTAGTTCATGGAGCTTCTCTAATAAAGAAATGAAGAAGTGAAATGTGTATATATATATATATATATATATATATATAGAGAGAGAGAGAGAGAGAGAGAGAGAGAGTTGTTTTTTGTGTGTGTGAATATATACATACACATACATACACACACATATATATATATACACAGTGGGTACGGAAAGTATTCAGACCCCCTTAAATTTTTCACTCTTTGTTATATTGCAGCCATTTGCTAAA